ATGCCCTTGTAAAAGGTGCAATAATCGAAACTTCAAGAAGCTGGAGATTGTCGCAGATGATATAACCAGGAATGGCATGGTGGAGACATATACTACATGGATCCATCATGGTGAGTCGTTTGACTTTGAGAGTACTAGTCATCAGCCTAGGCAACCTACAGTTGTGTTTGAGAGTGACGGTTTAGAGGATGACATGGCTGATATGTTAGGGGATATGTTGCGTGCTACTTCTGGAAATGCTCCTGTCATTGAGGGGTCAAAAACACCAAATTATTCTAATCTAACAGACCTCAATGACAAATTTGCTCGGCTAATCCGGGATGCCAATTTGCCATTATACCCTGGATGCAAAGACTTTTCCAGATTATCATTCGTTATGAAGCTGCTGAACAATAAACTGGTAACCAACAGTACTGACAAATCCTTCAACCTGAATCTGGACCTAGTCAAGAAAGCATTACCTGTTGGCGAGACGCTTCCTTCTTCATTCTATGAAGTTAAGCGGTACATGGGAGATCTTGGGTTCGGTTACACCATTATAGATGCCTGCCCAAATCATTGTGTACTCTATAGAGGTCCTCTAGAATCTGCCATTACATGCCCAAAATGCAATGAGCCTAGATACATACCTGGGAAACAAAATAATGTAGCACAAAGGAAAGCTAGGTATTTCCCACTAAAAGATAGGCTTCAAAGATTGTTCCTGAATAAGGAAGATGCTAAAGACATGCGGTGGCACAAGGAATTGCGTGTTGATGATGATACGCTAAGGCATCCGGCTGATGCAAAAACTTGGAAACAGTTCGATGAGGATCATAATTGGTTCGCTGCAGACCCTAGGAATGTTAGGCTTGCTCTTCTGAGTGATGGGTTCAACCCTTTTGGTAACATGAGCAATAGTTATAGCATGTGGCCTGTCGTGGTAACACCATACAATCTCCCGCCTTGGAAATGTATGACCAAACCTTTTTTTATTCTCACTGTCCTTATACCTGGAGAGAAATCGCCTGGTAATAACATACATGTGTACTTAGAGCCCCTGATAGAAATGCTGAGAGAGTTATGGGAGGATGGGGTCAGTACGTATGACGCACACTCAAACGAAACATTTCGTTTACATGCTGCGTTGCTATGGACAATAAATGATTTCCCAGCATATGGCATGCTATCGGGCTGGGGTACAAAGGGGAGATTAGCTTGTCCTGTCTGTAATATTGGGACATGTTCCGAACGTTTACATGCCAGTCATAAAGAGTGTTACATGGGGCATCGAAGATGGCTGCCAAGTGACCATAGGTGGAGAAAAAGCCGTAAATTTGATGGGAAGCATGAACTTAGAGGCAAACCAAGAGTGTTATCTGGAGAGGAACTTTTGCAGCAAATTGAGAAGGCTTTTCAATCTGATGTGGTAGTCAATGAGGGTGGGAAAAGGAAAAGGGGCTGTTCTGATGATAATGTGCATAACTGGAAAATAAAAGCTTCATTTTGGAGTTTGCCATATTGGAAAACTATAGAGTTGAGGCATAACTTAGATGTAATGCATGTTGAAAAAAACATTAGTGAGAATGTGATAGCTACGCTGCTAAATATCGAGGGAAAGACCAAAGATACAGCCAATGCTAGACGTGATTTGGAAGACATGCGTATTAGGAAAGAGCTACATCTGGTGAGAGACGGTGATAAGTATAAAATGCCTCCCGCTTTATACACCTTAAAAACCCCACAACGAAGGTCATTTTGTGAGTGGTTGAGGTCGATAAAATTCCCAGATGCTTATGCATCTAATATATCCCGGTGTGTGACTACCGATGGTAGGTCAGTCACTGGAATGAAAAGCCATGATCACCATGTCTTCATCCAACGCCTACTTCCTGCTGCCGCACAAGGATTCTTGAGCAAAGAAGTCTATAATATATTGTCTCAACTTAGTGAGTTCTTTCGTGAGTTGTGTTCAAGAACGATTACCATTTCCACTGTCAGAAAACTCGCGGATAACACCCCAGTTATACTTTGTAACTTGGAAATGTTGTATCCACCAGCTTTCTTCGTCGTGATGATGCATCTTCCTATTCACCTTCCCCGCGAAATTGAGCTTGGGGGACCGGTGCAGTACCGGTGGATGTACCCAATGGAGAGGTACACACCGAGTCGAACCCATTAAATTTTTAACTGCTTGGGATCCTTTATATAACGTAGCTAATTTTTGTATTCTGATTTTTTTTGGTAATTTTACTAGGTTCTTAGGAACTCTTAAATCATATGTTTCTAATAAGGCTCGTGCCGAGGGATCCATTGCCGAAAGGTATATAGCCAAAGAGTGTTCAGATTTCTGTTCTAGATATCTTAAAGGTGTTGAGACCCGAGCAAGTAGGCTAGACAGGAATGATGATGGGTTGGACGATGTAGATTATAATGGGTTTGATGTTTTCCGTCACCAAGGTAGATCTATAGGAGCTGCTAACTATGAGCCTATAGGCCAGGCTGAGTTCCATAAGATCCAATGGTATGTCTTCACTAATTGTGATGAAATTGAAGACCAATTGAAGTAAGTTTTTTTTCTTCTTCTTTGTGTTCAGATTTTTGTTTTGTTTCTAAACCCCAGTTAGTTTTGTCTTCTTCTTTTTTGTGCTTAATAAGTGCCATTACAGTGTGTATACGGGGGAGAGATTCTTGAGCTATCCAAATAGTACCCCATCATCCATTGCAGCTCACTTCCCATCTTGGTTTAAAACATTTGTAAGCCCAACCTTTTCCATTCTTTTTTCTTTGTCTTACTCACAACATCATTTTCTTAAATTTTTGGCCCCTTTCATTTCGTTTTAGGTCTCCGAAAAGTTTTTGGCTGGCACGCTTAAAGAGACTGACCATTTATATGTCCTAGGATTAGGGGCTGATGAAAGGATTACTAGATATCCTGGACTCATCATTAACGGGGTTCGATATCAAATAAATATGTCTGATGAAGGTCATCGAACTCAGAATAGTGGTGTCATGGTTAGGGGCGAGCACAATGGCGAGACTATAGAGTATTACGGGGTTCTGATCGAGATAATTAAGCTGCAATATTCTGGAGGGCATCGGGTCTTTATATTCAAGTGCGAGTGGTTCAATGTGGGTGACAAGAAGAATGGAATAAGGACGGATGGACACTTGACGAGCATAAACATGGATCGAAAATGGGGTGCGGAGGACCCATATGTATTGGCCAGTCAGGCTAACCAAGTGTTTTACATTGCCGATATTAAGAATGGTGGTGCATGGCATATTGTCCACAAGGTATGTCCCAGAAGTTTGTACGATGTTCCCTGAGAAGGAGGCAGCAATACATGGGGATCCATTGTCTGAAAATCAGCCATACCAACAGGATGTGGATCTTTCGGACTTTCATGTCAGTGAAAGTGAGTTACCAGATCTGAGTCGTGATGACGAGGCACCAACAATTGTTACTGAGACAGTGATACGATCATTTGATAGACGATCAGCATCAGTAGAAGCAAGCGATGATGACATGGACGACGACACATTGGATGACCATCATTTGAACAGTAATGATGTTGAACACCAAGATGGGTCTGATCCATCGTTCAGTGACCAGGAAGAAGAAGGATAACAGTAGAAGCTAATTATAGTGGTTTTCACACAGTAGCAGATTATTGGTTGCGAGCTGTGTTTTTTGCAGATTTATTTGGTAAATATATGTGTACAGCTTTTTGCGGGCCTTAGATTCATTTTTGGTGATTTTTGGGTAGATTAGAATAAGAAGATTGAATTTATATGAATGTTTACTCGAGGTGAATGGAGTCTGACAATAGGGTTTATTTTTTCGTTTTTGGGGTACTAATATGAACCCAGGCGATGCATAAACCCAGATTGTGTATTCGATCCTTTATTTTGAGGATGGATTGGGTTTCTGGTGCAGTTTGGTAGCTTTTGTGTAGGGCTTTGTCTGAGTTTTGTTAGAGAATTGAAATGAATGTGTGTGGTTATGAGCCCACATGATTTCGTGCATCACAGCCCACAATTGATTTAAGTCCTGAAAGGGCCTACTTTAAAACAACAAACCGAAGACAAGGACCTTAGTCCTTCGTCTCTGTCAAAGGCAAACCCTAAAATCCTCTTCTTCCAACCTTTCTCTCTCGCTACCTCTCCATTTGCGATTTCTCTCTGACGATTCTTCCCCGTAATCTGCTCATCGCGCAAGTTCACGACACCAATCTGCTCATCGCTCAAGTTTGGGGACCCGTTTTACAAGTAAGATTTCTTTTCCGAATCGCGATTCATTTCATACATACTCTTGCGATTTGTGCCCTCGATGCGCGATTCCTGCCCTCGATTCGTGATTCCTTTCATTTGATTCGCGATTCCTTTCATTCGCGATTCCTTTCATTTGATTCGCGATTCCTGCCCTCGATTCGCGATTCCCGATTCGTTTAATTCTAGGGTTTCGTAGATGCTCTTCCGATTTGTGCCTCGTGTGAAGTCTCTGTTGCCCCTTCTTCATTTTTTGGCACCTCTGCTTTGTAATTTTTTCACATGCAATCCTTGAAGACTTTGTTATTAGTTTGGTGAATTTGGGTCGAGGGTTGAGGTATTGTGGGCAATTCAGATTATGCAATTTTCTTCGCCAATAATCTCATAGTTAGTTTCACTGAGTTTTGGACTCTGATTTTGTTTCCATTTTGTGTTTGTTTGTTTCTTCTGGTCATCCTTGGTCATATTTGCTAATGATCTTTTGTTAATTAAGACTGTATGCTTTTAGAGGATCAGTTTTGTTAATTAAGACTGTATGCTTTTAGAGGATCAGTGTTGTTCTACTGAACTGTCAATTGACATCCCCTCTATTGAACTTACATTTTGTGATGGAGTACATATTTCGATTTCTGAAATTGCAAACCACATAAGTTGAGCTGCTTCCCAGCATACTAATTGCTTCTTATCATTCTTTATCTTGCTGGATTTAGACACTGCTTTCTGTTTGGACTTTTCTGTTTGGTGTAGGTATGCCACCACTCAAGAAGAAGAAGGCCGCTGCTGACAAGGGTGTACCTATCGCTGAGTTTTATCGGGCGACCAGATCAGGGAGGGTGCGTCCGGAACCTGGTCGATCCACTGAATCTGTAAGCGGGGGGAATGGACATCGAACTGGAGCCACAGTGAACGAGGACAGTCAACGCACCGACACTGTGCATCCAGAGGAACCCAGTGGCAATGACGATTCGGAGGAAGAAGCATCCAATCATGACAACGGAGAAGGTAGTAATCCAACTGGATTAGAACCACCCCTTGCGACAAAAAAGAGGGGACTGTCCAAAGGGTATGAGATAATGAAGAGAACCGGAACTGGAGGAAAGATAGATGGAATTTACGTAATGGAAAATGGGCAGTCATTTGTAGGGCCCAATGAGAGCTTGCTGAAGACAGAGTTGGGCGTCGTAACACGTCTGATGGCCCCGATAAGGAAGTACTACTGGTCCAAGTTGACTGAAGCAGACAAGCACCCGTTATTCAAGAAGCTAGAGGTAATTTCCCAGTACTGGTAGTTTGATGTGAATCTAGTTGTAATTCTTTTTAGATAAGTATAAAATGCAAGTTGTATATCTTTTTAGAAATGTGTTATAATATGTTCGTATATGAACTATATAATTATTTTTTCATGTAGGATGAACTTGACATAGACACAGCAGGTGAAGATGCAAGGAAGATTATGGAGAAGAGAATGAAGAAGAGGTTCATCAATTACAAGTATGCGATGCATGCTCACTACTTGAAAGACCCTGAGAAAGCCAGGACAGACCCTCCTGTTGACATGAATATAGAGGACTGGAATATGTTGTGTGATCACTTTGAGAGTGAAAAGTTTCGAGTGAGTAAATCCAACTGTTTCATCATAAATTTCCTTTGTTACCTTGTCTTACAATCAAAGGTTGCTTATTAATTAAATTTGTCGTATGCAGAAGCGAAGTGAAATTAATAAAGTCAACAAGAGTAAGCAAGTGTATGCACACACTTCTGGTGCAAAATCTCTTGATCAAAGAATATATGAATTGGTAAGATGTCAACAATTCCATGGAACATTTATACGGTATAGTTATGTGATTAAAATCTGCCTCAATGTAACTGCTTTGTGTAGGAGAAGAAGAAGAAGAAGCAGAAGCAGCAGGAGCAGCCTACTGGAGAGGAGCAGCCAACAGAAATGGAGGACGGTGAGACCGTAGAGGAGGAGCCACTAGATATGCTTCTCTATGCAAAGAGGTATCAGAAGGCTGATGGTAGTTGGGTATCGGAGGAACCTATGAAAAACTATGTGAGTCCGACCATATCACTTGCATTGTTTCATTGTCAGAAGTTCATAGCCAACCGTGTGACCTGTTTAATTAACACGTTTTGTTCATTGTGCAGCTGGAGATGCAGTCCCTTTGGATAGAAGCAAAGGCAGAGGGGAAGCCTTTATCAGGCCGCGAGATTGTTCAGACAGTCCTGAAGAAGAAGCTGAAGTATGGACCCAAGGAGAACCCAAGATCAGCAAAGGAGCAACAACTCCAAGCGGAATTGGAGGCAGCAAGAGCTGAAGCAGAGAGAAAGGCTAAGGAGTTTGAGGAGAAGATACAAAGTCAAGAAGAGCAGCTAAAAAGCCAGGCCGAGAAGATACAACTCCAGGAAGAAAAGTTACAGATCCAGGAGGAGAGGTTTGAGACTCAAGAAGAGGTGATGAACCAAATGAAAGCTGCCCAGGAAAAGTTACAGCATCAAGTGCTAGTGATTGCTCGCCAACTACCCCGCAAATGAACTGCCAAATCCAAGGTAACAACACTGCATCGGTTTGCAGACCCAGATGAGACTGCAAGCTATTTGTTGGTGTTAGAAGTATGTTAGTTTCTACTTTTGTGAACAAAGTTACCGTGGTTTGTGTACCGGTGAACAAGGAGTTTCATGTGTTGTGTCATGGTGGAACTTAGAATGTTTGTTTATGTTGAACAAGGAGGTACACTGTTATGGGGATGGAAATGGATGTACTGTTTTGGATGGATGGAAATATTTCCATGATCAGGTTGCAAGGCAGAGTGCACTATCGCATTATGGAGTTTGTAAAGCAGGGCAAATGTGACAACACTGGAAAGTTGTCATATTATGTAAAATCCATGACAAATTGCCCCTCTGTCATATTACACAGAAGTCAATTAAGCCAGCTTTCATGACGAGCTATACTTGTCGTAAAACGCAGTTACGACAAAACCGCCCCGTCACGATTATAAGTTATGACAAAATCTGTTCGTCCTAATGTACAGGAATGACAAAATTGATTCGTCATAGAAGCAGTTATGACAAAGGATATCCGTCATAATATAAATTATGACCAAATCAATTAGTCACAACAGTGGGATGTAAGAGTAGAAAGAAAGTAATATGACAAAATTAATGACACAACATGTTGTCATAATGAAGACATTTGTCACATTTTAAAATATCCTGACAAATAAATATTTTGTCATAATAGGCGTGGGACAAATTACTAACCTTTTATGGCAAACCCTGTTCGTCACAAAATCATGTTATGACAAACTATGATCTTCTAATATGATAAACACTTTTCTAAAAATTAACAATTTATGACAAATATAATGACAAAAATATTCGTCATAATATCTCTGTTTGTCACAATAGACCACCCAGAACCTCATATATACCGGAACCAGATGTGACAAATTTTGTTCAACAATTTGTCACATTTGATCTATCTTGACGGCGATAAAATGACAAACCGTTGTGACAAAGGCATTTGTCATTACAGGTCAAATATGACAAAATAGTTATCTAATATGACTAAATGGACGTGTCATAACAGGCCGAATTTGTTGTAGTGAAGTATTCATAGCAAAAGGTTCCACAGTTCCAAACCCAACACAATCACAGCCAATCAACAAGTAACTTTCTTTCCGCTATTCTGCATTACTCAAATTCTCTAGAGCACAAGAGCGAAGGAGGTCACATAAATGTTAGTATTTCCAAGCCAGACTGCTAAGAAACACTACTTAATGGGCACTATTCAGATTTTTGTGGTGGTGGCTCTCTTTTGCTTTCATTCATTTTTTCATTTCTTTTCTTTTTTCATTTCTTGAGAGAACCACCACCTATGCACATTTTTCAAACACATGCCCAACCTTTTAAAAACTACCTCCAACCCTCACATTACATTTAGCAGAACAGCAGAGAACATGTAAAAACCACTCTGTGGAACCTTCTAAGAGATGCAATAGGGTGATTTTTCATTGTAGACTGAAAGAAAGGATGTGACACGACTCAAAGGGGCTGACTAGGGGGTATGACACACCAGGATAGTCAATTTGGTCGTGGGCTAATCCTATGCCTCCACCATCTTAGCTAATGACAACGTGAATGCTACACATCATGGAAGAGGGAACTATCGCACAAGAAAGAAACGAGCAGGCTCAAATCTCACATGGCTACCTATATGCTCTATCTCTCATTCTGATTCGCTGAACTAGATGCATAAACGACTGTCAAGAGCAAGTGATCAATCCAAGTCATAGTTGGTAAGCAAATAGTTGAAAAACTGAATTCCTACACAATTCTACTGCACGTCTCAGTCATCATTATAGGTTGTCCTAGTCACAATCCAGTTGTCATGCATTAATTCGAAAGCCATTCGATTCACCAATTAAACCACAGTGCCAATATGATCAAGCAAACAGCAGTGCTTGGAGCCCTCAAATCTCGAGATTTGGACAGCGGACTAGGCTCCAAGCACACATATATACGTTCCAATGAATACAAAGAACCCCCCCCCCCCCACACACTTAAATGCGACAGTGTCCTCAATGGAGCAAAAGGAAGGGGAACGATGTTAACGTGAAACAATGGTCAGGAAAGGGGACTGGAGGGCGGACCAGTCAATAGCAGAGGACTGGATAAGGACCAGTCCAACGGTACAGAGCTATAGTCAGGAAAACACACACATGGGGTGAAAGAAACCATAGTTCCAAGTCTACAATCCAAAGAAACAAGACAAGAGAAAAGGAAACACAATATGGAGTCTTATTCTGGAAAGAAAGAAAAATGCAGAGCCCAACTCGATGGGCCAGTAGACAGAGCCAGCTCAGTTCTCATCACCTCCGTCGCCGGTGGGAGGCGGGTAGAAATCCTCATGCCCCGAGGAAGCCTCCCAAGGGTAGCTAACAGCAGCAGGGTCCATGTCCCAGTAGCTCATCATGTAATGCTGAGCCGAAATGATGCGGTGCCGACCTTCGCGCTCACGGTCGAGTCGGGCGTTGATGTGCTCCTGGCCAGCAAGGATCTGCTCATTCTGGCAGGAAAGGGCTGCCAGCTGCTCAGAAATGTAGGATGTGGGTGCAGCAGTAGACGGGACGGCAGCAGAAGTGGATGAGCCAGCTGCAGAAGGCGTGGTCCGACGAATGGTACGACGAGAGGCAGCATCGCTCGCCTCGGGGAGATCCTCGCCCTCTGGTGCACGAGGAACAGGTCGAGGAAGTCCCCGGATCTAGGTCACGTCCCCGTCGCGCTGCAGTATCAGCTGGCGCCGTAGGGTGTCCCTGGAGAAGGGTGTCGGTGGGAGGATGACAGTGAACCCTGAGAGGTCGATGTTGATGTACCGGGCTAGGGCAGTGACCACCGGCCCACAAGCCAGTGCACGACCACAGTGAGAAGCCTTGGCGACGGTCCTGGCGATGAGAGAGGCCAAATGGAGGTTGTCTTCCTCCTGACTAATGGAGTGCATACAGTGCAAGGTGTGGAGCTGAAGATGACTGGTGGAGCCACCGCTGGGGGTGTAAGATTTTCCCAACAGCTGGTTGAGGATGCGCCACTCTGGGCGCAGCTGAGTGGCAGTGGTGTAGCCCGGTGTGAACACAGCGCCAGCGAACTCCGGGAGGCAGATCCTCTCGAAGAAACGCTGGTCCCGAAAGATGGCACAGTCCTTCTGTTCGATGGCCAGGTGGCAGGCGAATGGTGGAAGGAGCCCCAGTGCCCGACCGAAGTCATCATATCTGAGGGAATAAGACTCCCCACCAAGTCGAAACTGAATGGCATTGCTGTGTTCGCCCACGTGGGTCTGGAAGTGCTCAAAGGTGGCATAGAACGCCCAGAGGAGCTCCTAATAAATTGACTCAGCAAGGCAGAGGAGGCGGCGCCAAGAGTAAGCGCGGATGGCATCCTCCATTTCCTCGCAAGCACCTAGCTCCTCGAAGACCTCAAAATTGAGGTAATGGTGCTCAACGACTTTGCGGCGTCGGATTTCCCGCAGAGTCTTCCTCTGGTCGGCGTCGAGCATGTTCAGGTAAGTGTTCATGGTCCTGCAGCCAAAAAGCAACAAAAACACAACAACATACATGGAAATTTGTCAATGGTGAGTGCACAATCATCCGCACCCGGGGCCCTCGAATCATAAAATTCGGACAGTGGACTAGGCCCCAGGGGAGGAAAAACATTCAAAACCATTCACCATTCACACAAGATTAAACGCACTTGGAGCCCTCGGATCATAAACCCGGACAGAAAATAAGGCTCCAAGTGGGACAATCACAAACACATGCTGCCCGGTAGGCCAACCAAAGGAGGAACAAACAAAGCATGCAAAACCGTAGGCCTACCGAATTCATTCAAGCACAACCCAATCCCCGTATTCCCTCACTAAAACCCATAATACCAATCCTCCACAATTCACAAGTAAAAATAGAGAAGCACACCTGGAGGCACAAAGAGGTAGCACGGGGAAGGTGGGGGAAGAGTGAGACTCCACGACAATCGCCGGGAAACTCGCCGGGAGGCTCGCCGGATTTTCATCACCGGTGACTTTACCACCGCAAAACTGACCCAAAACTTTGGGGAATGAGGGCCCGGATGCCAGGAACGCAGTGATGGTCGCGGTTTTTCGATTGGAGGTCAGAGGAGGGAGATCGGGCCGGAAGAACACCAAAGAGTAGCGGTTTTCCGGAGACCCAAACCACCGCCAAACTCGACCTCAGTGGTATAGGCTTGTGCGCGTCGACGAGAGGAGCACAGGAGTGTTCTCGGATTTTTATTTGGAGCTCCGGTGAGGGAGTTATGGCCGGAAAACCACATGAGAATGAGGGAGGGCGATTTTCCGGTGAAGAGGAGAGAGAGAGGTCGACCAGAAAAATGAGGAGAGAGAGAGATTACGGGCATCTTCCGAAATTTAAATGTCAGGGGGCAATTACGGGCAGAATTACGACCGTAATGGCCCCCCTTCCAGCTCTTAATTGCACTACCGAGAACACACTGCCCCCCGTGCTAATTACGGGCAGAATTACGACCGTAATTGGTCGGATCCTGCCCGTAATTGCACTGCCGAGCCTCTTTTCCTCTTCTGGCTTAATTACGGGCAGGGGCAAGGAAATTACGACCTTATTGGTCCTCACTTGCCCGTAATTTCACTGCCGAGGGCCCTTTTCTCCAATTTTTAAACCGCAATTCCGAACAGCCAAAACCATTCGTGCCCCGGCTCGAAAATAGACACTACCGTAGACAAAAATAGACCATCCGGGGCACGAGAAATATTCTAGAAAGACTCAAGATAGACTCAAAGACTCAAAAACCGACAAAAAATGAAAAGGAAAAAGGATAGAAATGCAAACCGTAGTGGGGTTGCCTCCCCACAAGCGCTTCTTTACCATCTTTTAGCCGGACGCCAGTAGAGGAACTAAGGGTCCTCGAGTTTGATCAGCAGCTCTGCTCCCCTGTACTAAGGTCCCGACCACCTCGACGTAGCTTGCCCGAGAAGAGTTTCAGGCGTGCATTGAAGAACAGAACACGATCACCTACCTGAAACTTCTTCGGGCCCCTCAACCGAGCGTCGTGGAGACGCTTGGTGCGCTCTTTGTTTAGCAGGGTGTTCTCGTAGGCATGGTAACGCCATTCCGCCAACTCCAGTAGCTGCAAATTACGTTCAATACCTGCAATACTCAAATCCATGTTTAGCAGCTTAAGGGCCCAGAAGGCCTTGTGCTCTAGCTCTACTGGCAAATGACACGCCTTCCCATAGATAAGCCTATAGGGAGAAGTGCCAATCGGGTTTTTATAGGCCGTCCTATATGCCCAAAGAGCATCATCAAGCTTGGTGGACCAATCCTTGCGGGACTGATCCACTGTCTTTTCAATTATTCGTTTAAGATCCCGGTTCGTCAGCTCGCTTGCCCATTTGACTGGGGATGGTAGGCCACCGACACCTGATGCTTAACACCATAGCGAGAGAGGAGTTTAGTGAATTGCCCTTGAAATGGGTTCCTCTATCACTAATGATGGTGCGAGGTGTCCCGAACCGGAAGAACAGCTGCTTCAGAAATGAGCAGACCCGTCTTGCATCATTGGTGGGCATGGCTTGAGCTTTTGCCCACCTCGAGACGTAGTCCACTACAACCAATATGTACAGATTGCCAAAAGATGGAGGGAATGGGCCCATGAAATCGATACCCCAAACATCAAAAATTTCACAAATGATAGAAATATGTTGGGGCATCTCATCCCGGGAAGAAATGTTAACTGACCTTTGGCAGCGGTCGCACTGTTGTGCGAAGGTGTCTGCATCCTTGAAGAGAGAGGGCCAATAGAAGCCCGACTATAGCACCTTCCGCGCCGTGCGGTTTCCTCCATGGTGACCTCTAGCAGGTCCCTCGTGGCACTGAGACAGGATGTCTCCCATCTCGTTCTCCATGACACAGCGCCGGATCACGCCATCTGCTCCAATCCTGAAGAGGTAAGGATCCTCCCAGAAGTAATGCTTCAGGTCGGAGAAGAACTTGCGCTTTGCATGAGTGGCCATCCCCATTGGTAGCTGCTTGCCCACCAGATAATTGGCAAAGTCAGAATACCAAGGGACCACGCTGTCAACCAGTGTCATCGCCAGCAATCTCTCACCCGGGAAGGATTCATCGATCTCTTCCACGAAGTTGTCCACCGAAGGGGCTTCCAACCGTGAAAGATGATCTGCAACAACATTCTCGACTCCCTTCTTGTCCCGGATTTCTATATCGAATTCCTGAAGAAGCAAGATCCAGCGGATGAGTCTAGGCTTTGCATCAGCCTTGCTCATCAGGTTGCGAATCGCCGAGTGGTCAGTGTAGACCACCACATGAGAGAGCACCAGATAGGGTCGGAAATTATCAAATGCATACACCACAGCGAGGAGCTCCTTCTCAGTTGTGGTGTAGTTCTCCTGTGCATCATTCAAGGTCTTGGACGCGTAGTAGATGAGCTGGAAGTGCTTCTCGCATCTCTGACCCAGAATTGTTCTGACTGCATAGTCACTCGCATCGCACATCAGCTCAAAAGAGAGAGACCAGTTAGGAGTCACCATGATAGGTGCATGGGTAAGCTTCTCCTTCAGAGTCTCGAATGCAGCTGTGCACTCAAGGGTGAACTCGAATGGTGCATCCTTCTCCAGCAGCTTGGTCAGAGGCAGGGCAATCTTCGAGAAATCTTTAATGAAGCGCCGGTAGAAGCTTGCATGACCCAGAAAGTTTCGAATCCACTTCACAGAAATGGGAGGAGGTAGCTTACTGATCGTCTCAATCTTCGCGCGATCCACCTCAATCCCCTGCTTGGAGATTTTGTGCCCGAGCACAATCCCCTCAAGGACCATAAAATGGCACTTCTCCCAGCTGAGTGCCAGATTAGTCTCCTCTCACCTCTTTAGAACGAGTTCCAGGTTATGGAGACAATAAGTGAAGGAGTCTCCATAAACCGAGAAGTCATCCATGAAGACTTCCATGATCTCTCCGACCAGTCGGTCGAAGATCGCCATCATGCATCTCTGGAAGGTCGCCGGTGCATTACACAACCCGAATGGAATCCTCCGGTAAGCAAAAGTACCAAAGGGGCGAGTGAATGTGGTCTTCGCCTGATCCTCTGGTGCAATAGGAATCTGGAAATAACCAGACATGCCATCCAGGAAGCAATAAAACTCATGACCAGCCAACCTCTCCAAACATCTGATCAATGAAGGGTAGGGGAAAATGATCTTTCCTGGTGGCGTCGTTCAGGCGCCGGTAATCGATGCAGAATCTCCAGCCGGTCACGGTCCGCATCAAGATCCACTCTTTCTTCTCATTCGGGACCACAGTCATCCCGCCTTTCTTTGGGACCACCTGAGTAGGGCTGCCCACTTGCTATCAGATATAGCAAAGATGATCCCTGCATCCATGAGCTTCACAATCTCTGCCCGGAACACTGCCTCCAAGTTAGGTGACAATCTCCGCTCTGGCTGACTGACTGGCTTAACCTAATCCTCCATCAGAATTTTGGAGCAGAAGGATGGGCTAATGCCTCTGATGTCTGTGATCTTCCATGCCATGGCCGGGGCATACTTCTACAGCAGAGCCATCAGCCTGCTCTTCTGCTCGAGTGTCAGATTCGAGCTGATAATGACCGGGAGCTTATTCCCCTCCCGGAGAAATGCGTACTCCAGGGGAGAGGGGAGGGGCTTAAGCTCTAGCTCTGGTGGCTCCTCTAATGATGTAGCGATACGGGGCGAGATAGGGATCGGCTTGAATGGTATCTCTAGCCCATCGATCGCGGCATTGTCTAGCTCCGCAAGCTGCTCCTCCAGCCGCATGTCCTGTGATGCCTGTTCCCCTAGCAAAAGACAACGCTCGAGAAAATCGTCAGTACTCACACTCGTGATGGCGAGTGTGGTCTCAAAATCAGCAATAACATCACAGTAGTCTAGATAATCATAGAGCTGGGGGTGTTTAATATTATCAGAAACAGAGAAGGTGATTTGTTCACCCCCAGCTCGCAAAATCAATTTCCCATCATTCACATCAATGAGCGCCTTGGCGGTGGCGAGAAAAGGTCTACCCAATATTAATGGCACATCCACATCCTCATTTATGTCCAAAATTACAAAATCAACTGGATATGAGAATGGCCCTACTGCGACTATCAAGTCCTCTACAATGACCCTAGGATGCACAATGGATCTATCAGCAAGTTTAATGCTCATCCTAGTATCACTGGGTTCACCTAGGCCTAGCTTTTTAAACAGTTTATATGGAATGACATTTATGCTAGCACCTAAATCTGTCAAGGACTTCCCTATATGAAAACTACCAATCATGCAAGGGATAGTAAAACTCCGTGGGTCTTTTCGCTTCTCTGGTAGTTTGTTCTGCAGGATGGCAGAACACTCCTCGTTGAGCATCACCGTTGACAGCTCCCCAAGCTTCCTCTTGTTGGTGAGGAGATCCTTCATGAACTTGGCATACTTGGGCATCTTCGATAATGCCTCCACGAAGGGCATGCTTATGTTTACATGCTTTAGCATTGCCATGAACTTGGCAAACTCAGTCTCAGTCGATCTTTGTGCAACCGAGTAGGAAAGGGAAGCTGCGGTACATACTCCTTCACCACTGGTTGCGGTTTAGGAGTAGGAACCTCAACCTTCTTCTCCATTTTCTCCTCATTAGATGGAAGTGCTGAAGCAGGGGTCTCTCTCTCTTATGCCCGAACAAGTGGATCAGCACTCACCTTGCCACTCCTGGTAGTGATGGCCTTGCAGTGCTCATTTGGGTCCTGCAGATGAGGGATGGTCTGACCGGGTAGAGTACCAGGAGTCCTCTGAGCTACAGCCTGGGCAACACTCCCAAGCTGGGTCTGGATGTCTCGCAGCACAGCCTGCGTGTTTCTCTGGCCAACTTCTAGCTCCAAGAATTTACCTGAATCTTTCTCCATGAACTGCTCAATGTTATTGAACTTGTTTGCAGTGGAGGTGGCCAGAGAACCCATCAGATCTCGCAATTCCGCCATCGGGTCACTCTGTACTGGGGCTTCAGGTGCTGCCCCTGTCTGATGAAATGACTGCACCTGTGACTGAGGCGGAATTGGTCCCTGTCTGGGCAGGTAGAGAGGCTGTTGTGGCTGCTGAAATTGCCCTTGTCTGGGCTGGTAAGGAGGCCTCTAGAAGCCAGGTGATCCCTGGGGGGCTGGTGGTCTAGAATTTTCCCCACCCTAGGAGAAGTTGGGATGCTGGCGCCACCCCTCGTTGTAAGTGTTGCTGTTTGAAGCACCTGGCATTGTCAATGAAGTCCACCTACTCCTGGGGAGTAGACGATTCTCTCATCGCCTGACAGTCCTCCACGGTGTGGTGGGAGCTCTCACACCACTGGCAGTGCATCGCCTGCGGCTGTCCTGTACCTGCAATCATCCCAGAGCGATCGATGGCTAAAACCAACTTCGATACCACCTGCACCAAATCAGATGAGTGGGTGGCTACAGCATGCACACCCCACCCTGGTGCTCGTCTCGATCTCCTTGCAGTTCCCCAGTCATAGCCCTGCTCTGCCATCTCTTCAAAGAGTTGATTCAGCTGTGGCGGTGTTTTGGTGAGCATATTCCCACCACAGACTGAGTCAATCAGCTACTTGTCTTCCGGGAAGAGGGCGTGGTAGAATTGCCCACCTTGAAGCCGTCAGTAAAACCATGGTTGGGGCACTTGAGGAAGAGACTGGTGTATCTCTCTCAAGCATCCCGGATGGTCTCGTCTTCATCCTGAGCAAAGTGGTAGCGAGTGAGGAACTTGTCCTCCAAGTTGACGAACGTGGTGATCGAGCCTGGATGTCGAATGTCTAGCCACTCCTTGGCCTGCCCCTCCAGAGTAAATGGGAAGTACCTCAGCTGGATGGCATCGGCTAGGACCCCATATATCTTGATTCCATCGATGAGCTCGTGGAATCGCCTCAGATGTGACCGTGGCACTCCCCCTCTTTGCCACGAAACACCACCGAACCGCGCAGCATGGTGATGACAGAGGTGCTCACCTCAAAGTTATTCACTGGCACATGAGGGTGCTGAATGGGCGACCTCATGTCCGCGACTCTGGCGGTCCAGTAGTACCCCATGGTCTGTTCTTCGGGAAGGACCACATCATGGTCCTGTGGATCACCCATCTCTTCTTCATCGGTGATTTGCAGCTGTGCTAGCCTCCTCCGTAGCCAGTCGCGCCTTTAGAGCCCGCTTGAAAATCCTACAGGTCCGTTCAAGCTCCTGGTCTAATGGTAGTAAATCTCCCGACTGGCTACAAGTCATGCACTACCTGCACACAATCAGCAAAAGCAATCCGTGAAGGCACACAGGTGGAAGAGAGAAAATGCAGTAAAGAAAAAGCTAGAGTAACAAACTTTCACGTTTCTCCAATAACCTAGAGGGTCCCCGGCAACGACGCCAAAAAGCTATGACATACCACCAAACTACGACCAAGTGTAATCGTATTCCGGGAATGCAGTAAAGTGGCAAGTTCTAAATATCAACCCGGGGTCTAGATCTACTGCCTACTCCGTGAATATCTATTATCTAGCCAACTAAGTCGATTGATTGTGGTTTTAACTAAAAGCAGTAAGAAAGCAAGAAATGGTTCGGTTTTCTAAAGCAAAGGAAGAGTCACTCAGGAATGAGTCCCCCTAGCTCCTTAGTTAGGTCACAGTTGTAGTTACTTTTGGTTGTTTTACTGCTGATTATACTGCGGAAGATCCGACAGTAGCTTGGAATCTCTTAAGCTGACCAAGCCCTCTCAGTTAAAATACCTGGCAGACGACTAGTCTTCACCGGGATAGAATGCTGAGGCAATGAACACAGAACTCCACTACTGGAATTAGATTCCAGTACAAAGCAGTGTATCGAATAACTCTCATATAATCAATTCACTACCACCGATTGAAGAAGCTCTAACAACCTAATCAGATTCTATCTATCTCAGGTTGCAGCAAAAATCAATGAAAGATGATCAGACTTCAATTGACTCAATCAAAACACTTCAATCGATTATAATCAAGCAATATCACAATCCAAACATAATTACAATCAAGATTCCTAACACATGGAACTAGGGTTCTTCATACCCAAGTGAGAGAAGGTTCTACTCCATAGAGAGAGAGAGGAAAACAGAAATCAGAGTAGTCATACTCATAATGATGAGGTTAATCTGCTCCGAGATGATGATCTTCACTCCTGGGGATGCAATCTAGGCTTCAATGGTTTAGGGTTTGTTCTTCGCACTTTCTCTCTCTAAAACTCTATTTTTTCTCCAAAAAGTCGACCCCCTCTCCTTTGGCTCGAATCTGCCTCAAAAACCTGATTCTGGGCCAATTACGGGCAGAATTACTGTCGTAATCATGGTCTGCCCGTAATTGCCCAAAACGCGCGTTTCACTTAACTTAGAAAAAAGAATTTACGGTCGTAATTACCCAATTACTGTCAGTAATTATGGAATTATGACCGTAATTCTTTGACTCTTGTCCGTAATTGTCTCTGCGACTGGAATTCTGAAGAATTAGGCTCGGCATTGCAATTACGGGCATGCCAGGAGCAATTACACCCGTAATTGGGCAGGGGTTGTCCGTAATTTGCTCTCTGAATCGCCACCTGGCCTCCAAATGACCTGAAACTTGCGCCTTTGCGTAAAATAGGCCAAGGAACAACAAATTCGAGCAAAAATGGTCAGGAAACAAAGGTGAAAACATGTGCAAAAACAAAGGTGAGAACACGAAGCTCTTTCACATAAGAGCTTTAGAGAGAAGAGCTAAAAATATGATACGTAAGCTTAAGGATGTGGATGGAAGGATTTTTACAGATCAGGAAGAAGTGGCGAGGTGTATAGTGAGCAACTATACATGTCTCATGCAGGAGTTGGATCCAGCACAGTGATAGATGTTGTTCCACAAAAGGTTACAGCAACGATGAATGCAGATCTATTAAAACCTTTCGAGAAGGAGGAAATTTGGGATGCTCTTTAAGTGATGGGACCACTAAAAGCTCCAGGAGCTGATGGTATGCCCGCTCTATTTTTTCAAAAAAACTGGGACATTTTGGGAGAAACAGTCACTACTGAGCTTCAAGGGTATCTGGAAGAGGTTCATTTCCCACAAGAGCTAAATCATACCCTAATAGCTCTAATACCAAAGAAGAAGAGCCCTCAGACCCCAGTTGACTTCCGCCCCATCAGTCTGTGTAAGGTACTTTACAAAATACTATCTAAGGTGCTGGCTAATAGACTAAAACGGGTGTTGGATGAAGTGATAGTACCAAATTAGAGCTCTTTTGTGCTAGGTAGACTAATCACTGAAAATTTGATGATGGCTTTTGAGTGTTTTCACTCGACGAAAGCGAGAAAATCAGGAAGCAAGGGTTATGTGGCGGCTAAACTAGATATCATGAAAGCTTATGACAGGGTGGAGTGGCCTTTTTTGGAGGCCATTATGCTGAAACTGAGATTTGAGCCTAGATGGGTTCAACTAATTATGATTTGCGTCACTACGGTCTCCTTTTCCACACTGGTTAATGGCCATCAAATGGGGAGGTTCTATCCTAGCAGAGGGCTAAGGCAAGGGGATCCTATATCTCCCTGCCTCTTTTTGTTTGTAGTGGAAGGTCTTTCAGCCCTCATAACAAAGGCTAAGAGGGAGAAGTAGATTGAAGGACTGAGAGTAAAGAAGAATGCACCACAAATTTCTTATTTACTATTTGCTGATGACAACATTCTTTTTATGAGGGCAACTATGGCTGAATATGAAAAAGTGAAGGGAATCCTAAGTATATACGAAGCTAAATCAGGCCAGCAGGTTAATCTCACCAAGTCAGAACTATCTTTCAATCCCAATGTGAGACAAGAAGACGAAAGGAGCTGGTTGACATTCTGAATATGAAGATGGTGGACCATCATCAAAAGTACTTGGGGTTACCTACCATTATTAGAAGATATAAAAAAACAAGTTTTTGGTTATCTGGTAGATAGAGTGCGAGCTAAAGTGAAGGCCTGGAAGGGGAAGTTACTTTCTATGGCGGGAAAGGAGGTTCTCATTAAATCTATAGCTCAGGCACAATTAACTTATGCCATGTCTGTGTTCCAGATTCCTACCAGTACCCTCAAGGAAGTAAAAAGAGTTGTAGCTCAGTTCTGGTGGGGGCAGCAGGAGGAGGAAGGGAAGACTCACTGGCTCAATTGGAGGGAACTTTGTAAACCGAAGAAGTTGGGGGAATGGGGTTCAAAAACCTACAGAGCTTCAACTTAGCTCTACTTGGAAAGCAACTATGGAGGATCATCCATTCTCCTAACACCATGGTGGCTAAAGTGATTAAAGCTAAGTATTTTGAGGATAGAAATCCTCTGGAGGCTGAAATTGGGAGAAACCCAAGTTGGATGTGGCGTGGCTTACTGGCAGCAAAGGACCTAGTGAAAAGAGGTATGAGGTGGCGACTGGGAAATAGTAACAAAATCGATATATGGCTAGACAAATGGGTGCCCCATAGCAGTTCCCTGTGAGTTACATCGCCAACATC